GCCCAAGATCCTGAGAGGAGAATGAAGGAGAAAGGATTGCAGCATGGCCATGCCCCCTGGGGGGTGATTTCTCGCTTTCTGTCTCTCTGTTTCTCTCTGTCTATCTGGCAAGCGCACGTGCCCTATAGCAAAAAAAAAAAAAAAAAACTCTCAAAAAAAAAAATATATATATATATTGCCCTATTGATGGTCCACAAAATGTCTGTAATGCAGTCTTTCATAAACTGCTGAAACCTTCCATTTAAATTGGAGGTGAAAAGACTCAAAGAGTGTTTAAAATGTATCATGGTTTGATAGCCTTGCAGAGAAAATCAGAATAAATATATAATTATAAGGAGTTTAATTCAATGTAAAAAAATTCAAAAGTTTAAGTTATGTTCAGTTTTAACCAGTTGAAAACTCAATTTGGCTTTTTTCAAAGTTTTATTAAATACACATGACAATACATAAATAATGAAAACGTCAATAAGACTAACACATAATGTATTTCAAATTCTTGTGAAACTGAAAATTAGTTACTGAGAAATAGTGATGAATCTTGAAAATAAAAAACTACCCAGGTTTTAGCTAGAGACACACCTTATGTTATTTGTCAATTTAAGATAAATAAATTAAAAATAAGTAAAGCACCTCTTCCCTTGGATCTTCCTTTAGGTTCTTTAGTATTCATAAAGCTATATGCTGGACTTTTAACTTTGTAACTAGTAATTTTAGTTTCATGTGAATGAAAACTGTCATTTTTTTCATTATCATCAGCAATGATTTGAATTTTTAAAAATGAATCACATCATACATGTTTAATATATAGCCTTACAGGTGATGGGATGTATATTGAGTTAGGAAATGTCCTAGAAACTCATTTGAAGAGATTTTTCTGAGGTTGAATGAATAAAATTAACTCTAAAATTTGAAAAAAAAATGGTGCTTCATGAAATAAAGACCAATTGAAAAATTCATGGCATTTTGGCTCAGAGAACCAAGCAGCCATCTTTCTTTCCCTTCCAAATGTATTCTTCAGAGAAATAATCACAGGATTTGAAATATTATAAGGTAAATTGGAAAAGGTGAGAAGTATATCACATACTCCAGGAGTTAAAACTCCTACAAGTAGAGAGCTATAAATGCAAGTTAAGGCAGGAAGATTTGTGATGGGAAGATAGGCTGGGAGATTCATTTTCTCATATCAAATATGTTTGGAAAATAGAAGACATCAGTTAAGATAAGACAATTAAAATAAGAAAAATGCAAACCAAGGACAAAGTAGAAGTGTACATGATGAAAGGAGGTCAGTTCCTAGGAACTAGACTAGTTGCTATAATTTTCCTAAAGGTATAGTTTTGAAAATAAAATTTTAGACACATCCAAGCAATTTATGAAGTATGATTACTTCTTTTCTCACTTGAGACTGCATTAGGATAAAATGGTCGATATGAAATTAATAAGAAAAAAACTAAGAATAAAGGAAAAGGAAGAACACATGCAATTTTCAACAGAAGATGATGTACTTGGAAATTTTCTACCTGAAAATTAGAAAAATAAATTTAAAAGTTTAAAGTTACATCATGTTAATTTAATTCTAAATTTTACAAATACTACCATCCTAAATCTTACTGCTTTGACTAAATACTCAACAAATTTGATTAATAAACATGAGTATGCGTAAATTCTTGTCCATATCTTGGTTAAGAATTCTAGAATTTCCAACAAAGATGATAATATGACTACATGACACATCTAAGTTTTTTTTTTTTTTATAAGAATTCCCTTTTGGAGTTCGCCAAGTTGGTACAATGAGCAAAGCTCACCCTCCTGAATTGAAAAAATTTATGGACAAGAAGTTATCATTAAATTAAATGGTGGCAGACATGTCTAAGGAATATTGTGGGGATTTGATCCATTTATGAATCTTGTGATAGATCAATGTGTGGAGATGGCAATTAGTGGGCAACAGAACAATATTGGAATGGAGGTAATAGAAGGAAATAGTATCATCATGTTAGAAGCCTTGGAACGAGTATAAATAATGGCTGTTCAACAGAAAAGCCCATGTCCCCTTGTCAACAGGCCCGTTTTTACTATGATGTAAAAATCAGGTCATGTACATTTCCATAATAAACTTTTTGTTAAGTAAACTTTAAAAAAAATAATAAATAAATAAATAAAAGAATTCTCTTTTGTCATCACCGTAAACACACTTTACCATGCCGATTTATTCAACCACAAATTTACAAATCACAACTTCGAAGAACTCTTTTTTTTTTTTCTTTTTTTGGAGCTGTTTTTTTCTTATTGGGCACGTGCGCTCGCCAGAAAGACAGAGAGAGACAGAGAGATAGAAAGTGAGAAATTACCCCCCAGAGGGGATGACCACAATGCAATCCCTTCTCCTCCATTCTCCTCTCCTCTCGGGCTCTTGGGCACGCACACACACGCGCCCGGTGAGAGTTTAAGCCACCGGGTCCAGGACTCGAAATGCAGTCGACTACATGGGAGTCAAGCAACATACCATTACGCTAAGTGTTGGTCCCACGACATGCCTAATTTTAAAAAGCACAAAGGGGACTGACCTTATAGTGCTGAGGTGCAGTGCTGCACAGAGGAAGCTGGATCTCTCATGGCCAACTGTAGTTGGAGTCCTGGCCCCTAAGCAGCCTAAAGAGGATGCTGGGTACATACACTTATGAAGAACATCTTCATTCTGTTTGTGACACATTTGCCTTTGTCAGCATCTTAGAGTGAGGTGTGGAGAAGATATTTGAATTGTTCCTTTTTTCTTAATCTCCATTACCAGCCCTGAGCCTCGCCATCCCCTGACCTGGTTTTCTGACATCCCAGATGTTTCAGGGATTCCAAAAGATGAATTACACTTCTCAGTATTTCTCTCTATTGGTATTTCAGAGTTAGCCTTCTCTACCCTGCAAAATTGCTTACAATGCCTTTGTCTTCTCTCTTCCAAACGTTCATTGAAATCTCTTGTCTGCATTTAACTTCTGTCCCATGGCCTTTGTTCTAAGTCTAAATTATTTTCTTTTTACTATTGTTGATATTGTTGCTACTGTTACTATTAGTATACTTAGATCTTAGGAGGGAAAGGAAAAACTAGTGTGTCTTCTTTTTTAAATATAATTTCAATGTACTTATTGTTTATCTTAAAAATCAGATGTTGAAAAAGGATGGGATGACTTTTTTTTTTTTTTTTTGCAAAGGAAAAGTAATGTGAAAAATAATTATTAGGAATGGTGTTAATGGTGATCATGCATGGAAGGGCCAATGCGTACAAAAGCCCTTTTAAAGACTTCTCAAAATCCTCTCCCCCTCAACCACTATTGACATATTGTTCACACCTAACTGCAATAAGAGCAGTCAAATCTTCAATCTCCTTCCTTATAGAAGAAGAAACTATACGATCACTTGGAACTTAAATCAGAGTCTTTGGAACTCTAAAGAACTTATGGTATAAATATGATTGAAAGGCAGTTGATTTATTTTAGGAGAAAAGGGAAAGATTTGTCATAGAAAATGAACTGACCTCCATAAATAATGTCTAGTCTCTATTACTAAGGAAATAAAAGGGACAACTAGCAGACTCTGACAGATGTATACTCTGCAGCCATCTCTGGGCTATCCATCCTTAAGAAGTAATATTACATTATTTATATTCTTCATTAATTGTAGAAGCTAGATTAGAATCCATTAAACAAAAGCAAAAATAAGAAATAAGCATCTGACATCTTTTTATCAATTATATTCAGTATTGCTTAAGGTAAATGTTAGATAAAAATAATCAAGGCAGAATTCCTGAAAGATCTAAGTCATGAGACAATATCTAATTAAAGTCCTCAGAATAAAAATGTCTTTCCCAAAGTATTGAGAACACCTAGATATTGTCCACTTTAAGGGTAACACACACACACACACACACACACACACACACATCCCTAAAGTGTTCAATACATTTTGTCCTTTTTAAGAATTGAAAAGAATTGTAACTGAAAATTTATAATAGAATTACATCTTTTTTTTTTTTTGAGAGGTTTTCGCTATAGGGCGTGTGAGCTCGCCAGACAGAGAGAGACAGACAGAAAGCGAGAAATCACCCCCCAGGGGCGATGGTCACGCCGCAATCCCTTCTCCTCCATTCTCCTCTCAGGATCTTGGGCACGCACACACATGTGCCCGGCATGAGTTTTAAGCCACCGGGTCCGGGATGTGAACTGCGGTTGACTACGTGGGAGTCCAGCGACATAGCCATTACGCTAACTGCTGATTCACATATCTTCTTGATCTAGTAAGCTCAGTAATTCAAATGTCAATTTATGTTTGGTGCTTTAATAATCTTGGTATTTCTAAAAAAGAGTAAGATTACTTTCAATAAAAATACAATCTTAGTATTGAGGTGGGAATGTATTCAAACACTCTAAGAGGGTATTTTTTAAAACTTGCTCTCCACCAAAAGTATATAAAAGGTCCCCCTTTTTTTCTGTACAGAAACTATCCTTTTTCAGTTTGCCAATTCTGCGCTTCTTATATTATAATTATCTGCTTTCAATTCTTTTCTTCCTTCTAGATTTCATGACATTTGTAGGAGAAGACTAGGTAGGAAGGAAAGAAAAAAAGGAAAAAGGAAGGAGGAAAGAAGAATGCAGTTCCTGGTTAGTTTGATTTTTTTTGTCTAGGAAAAATTATCTGATTCCTCAGAGACATCTTTCTCTTGTAACCTCTTCCTAAATTACTGAATAAGAGAGTTTGATGTGAAATCCAACACAGTTAAATGAGATACTGAATAAGAGTGTTTACTCTTTTCCTCTGGAAGAAACAGAAAGTAAATATTGCCAGTATGGAAAGGTTCAAGTTTAACCCACTTAATGTAGGCTCAAAATATTTTTTATTAAATTGAAGCATAAGAGAGTTGAATTTAAGGACTATTTCTTTAAATTACTACTAAATGAGAGACCACCAAAGGTATCAGCTACTTTTCTGATTTTTCAATTCTCAACAGACTATTCCTTTTGCTTTTCCTTTAAGAACATGCGATTCCACAGTCTTTTCATGGCATTTTTTACATCCTCATTCCTCAGTGTGTAGATGAGTGGGTTTAACATCGGGGTGATGGTGGTATAGAACACAGACACAGCCTTATCCAGCGGGAAAGTAGTGGATGGACGGAGGTAAATAAAAATACAAGGGACAAAGAAGAAAGTTACCACTGTCAGATGAGATCCACAGGTAGAGAGAGCTTTGCGCCTGCTCTCTGCAGATCGTTTTCGAAGACTAAATAGAATGACTGTGTAGGAGGCCAGAAGAATGAGGAAACACCCCAGGGAGATGAGACCGCTATTGGCAATCACCAACATGTTTACCAAGGAAGTATCAGCACAGGCAAGTTTTAGGACCGGGTGGACATCACAGAAGTAGTGGTCTATGACCTGGGCATTGCAGTAGGGCAGCTGAAAAGTCAGCAGGGTCTGGATGAAGGAATGACCCAGGGCCCCCAACCAGGACAGAGCTGCCAGCACACTACAAACATTGGCACTCATGATGGTAGTATAACGGAGGGGTTGGCAGATGGCAGCATACCGGTCAAAGGCCATGACTGTCAAAACAAAAATCTCAGCACAACCAAAAAAGTGGAAAGTAAACATCTGAGTTATGCAGCCCCAGTAGGAAATTGTCTTTTTCTCAGAAACAAAGTCTGCAATCATCTTGGGTGCCGTAGCTGAGGAATAGGCAATGTCCACAAAGGATAGGTTACTGAGGAAGAAATACATGGGTGTGTGGAGCCGGTGATTGGAAGAAACTGTAAGCAGGATGAGCAAATTCCCCACCATGATCACGATGTAGAAGATGAGGAAAAGGGCAAAGAACATCAACTGCATTCTAGGATCTTGGGAAAGTCCTAGGAAAATAAACTCAGAGACATTGTTGGCCACTTCCATGGAGCCCCAGGCAAGACTGATGGGATAGCTCTGGTTATCTGCAAAAGTAAACACATATTATAAACCATTTTAAGAATGAAAAGTGCTTGCATATCAATGTTTATTGCAGCACTATTCACAATTGCTAAGACATGGAATCAACCCAAATGTCCCAGAACAGATGAATGTATTGAAAAACTGTGGCACATATACTCCATGGAATACTATTCAGCCATTAAAAAAAAAAAAAAAAAAACCTCACTTT